AGTGGGACGGCTGCTGGGAGGGGCACTCAGTAAACAGATGGGGGGGGTCAGTCACCCCTGGGCGAGCCTGGTGCATTGTGACAAGGGTCTACGGGGGAAATCCTGACCTTGGTGCCCCCTGCACTGCCCTACTCCCCTCCCTCATCCCCCCATGGTGCTCTCCATGCCCCTAATGGCCCCGTTGACCTTCCCAGGTCTGCGCAGGTGCAGCCGACTGAGCTGGGGCTAACGATTCAGTCTGAGGATGCTGGATCCGGATGAGAGTTCAGCTCATCCGCCGGTCGCCGGGCTGGCTCTGCCGGGTTGGGGTGTGTTCGTGCCAGCGCTGAGAGCGTTGTGTGCCCGTCACTCCAGTCAGTGGATCTGCCTGACACACGTGTGTGTGTGTGTGTGTGTGTGTGTCACTTTTCCACAATACATTCCCAGAGCAGCCCCCCACCCCCATCAGCCCAGCCGCTCCCCCCTTGGGATGCGCTCCTGCCCCAGAGTTTGGGCCCAGGTTGATGCCAGCCCGGATCCCTCCCTCCCGCCAGCAGCTGGGCTCTGCGGTGGCTCTGATCCAGCGCCCCAGGGCGATCGCACGTCTGTCTGGCGTGGAGGAGGGCAGAGACAGGGACTGTCTGCACTTTGTCTGGGGCCGCGGCTGCGGGAGTCGGGCCCTTTCCATTGCGTCAGGGGGAGAATCACCCGTTTGTCCCTGGATCATGTCTCAGCGCCAGCTTCTTCCTCCAGCGCCCCGGAGGTGGGGGGCGGCTCTAATTCCACCCCCCAGACTGACCTTGGGGGCGAGGCATCCTCGGGGCTGGGATGGTACCGATGGGGCTGTGTAAGGGGGGGGGTCTCTGACAGTCCGTGCAGGTTGGGGGGAGGGCACAACCCTCACTTAGACCGTTTCACAGCAGGGTTACTCCAGAGTGGGGCGGGAGCGCCAGCTGTGGGGGGGAGCTCCCGACAGCTCCAGATCCAGCCTCTCCCAGCAGGGGGCGCTGTGGGGAGCATGACGGGAGCTCTGGGTGGGATACTCGGGGAGGAAGGACTGAGGGTTGTACTGGGGCTGGTGGGTGGGGGGCTGCATGCGGGATTCTGGCTACGTCCCTGGGGGGGCAAAGGGGGCAGGGCCCCACGATCACGTCTCTCTGGGCAGCTCTTCGCCGGCGGGAGGATTTGAAGGATTCTCCCTCCATCCCGGCCTGGCTGGTGTTTGAGCAGCAGGGAGGGTCCTGGGGGCTCCTTGTCCCTGCATCTGATGCTGCAGCAGGCTGCTGGTATGTGTGAACGTACGTGTCTGTACCTCTGTGCCCGTGCATGAGTGTGTGGCACACGTGTGTGCCCGTGCGTGGGTGTGGGCGCACCGGTATGTACATCTGTACTTGTTCACAGACGTGAGGACACATCTGCACGTTTGTGTGCTTGCCGGAGTGTGTGTGTATGTGAACACTAGTGTGTGCGGTGTGTGTGCTTGGCGTGTGGGTAATTATCCTGCTAAGGCACTATGGGGACTCGGGGGACAATTGAGGGGCCAGACCCAGCCCAGCATGGACGCTGGGGCTGGGGCCTTGGTTTGGGGCTGTGGCGCCCCCTAGTGTCTGAGGCTGTGCAGTGCCGCTCTGTGGACACAAAGGTTCGATGGGGGCGGGGGAAGGTGTTGGGGGGCTGGCCTGGCCTTGGGGATCAGGTCCCCTGTGCTCCAGTCTAGCCCACGGTGCTGGAGACTAAAAATTGCTGTCAGGCATCGTATGAAATGAGTTTGGCCCTGCTTCCAAGCTGGGCATCAGGACTCCTGGGTTCCGTCCCAGCTCTGGGATGAGGGGAGTGGGGTCTAGAGGTTAGAGTGGGCAGTGGGACCCAGGACTCCTGGGTTCTATCCCCAGCTTGGAGGGGAGGGGAGTAGGGTCTAGTGGTTAGAGCAGGGGTAGGTGTCAGGACTCCTGGGTTCTATTCCTAGCTCTGCCCCCGCACCAATGGACCATCTCAGAAGAAAGGCCTCCAAGGGGCCAAAGCCCTTCGCCCCGGGTGGGGTGGGGTGTGTCCCAGCAAGGCTGGGGCTGCCTGGGAACAGGCCCTGCTGCTGCCCCTGTTCTAAAGAGCCCGAATAGCCAACACGTCCCCTCTCAGGGCAGGACTAAGGCTCGTGTTTGCACGGGGAGAGGACGTCACCCTCAGGACCGACTGCCCTGGGACGATGCAGCTTCTCCATCACGTGGAGTCGAACAGACGGGCTGTCCTCTCTCAAGCTCTGCGCTAGCTCCATCCCCAGCTATGGGCTGGATGCAGGAATCCCTGGGTCATTCTCTGGCCCGTGCAGTGTGAGAGGCCGAATCAGCCTGCTCCCTTCCTGGCCTGAGAATCTCTGAATTAATGGCTCGGCCTTCACTCCCCGGGGAACTGTGATGCCGTCACCTCCCCAGCTCCCTCGTCCTCCATGGAGTCTCCCCGGGGGAGATCGACCGAAGCTGAATTTCAAAGCCGCGCCCCCTTTCTAGCTCCCTTCCTAGGAAAGCACAATGGGGTTCCACAGCCCGCTGTGCTTCCCCTTTCACATCACCTCGGGCACTCGGCCCCGGGTCCTTTATCATCTGGTTCTTCGCACCCGCGTGTGGTTAATGACTCAGAGCAACAGGCTATAAATAAACACCAGCAGGAGGGGGCGGATCTGGGCCGATACCTGAGTGAAAAGCAGATCAACAGCAGCCTGTGTTGTCTTTTCACCCCCTCCCGCCCTCGGTGCTTCCCCTTTCCAGGTGGGTTTGTTCATTGCATGGACGCACTGGGTGACCTTGGGTAAGTCATTACCCCGCGCTGTGCCTCAGTTTCCCCATCCTCCCTCTGCCTATTGCCTATTGCCATGGCTCACTGTGTTTATGTGCAGCACCGAGCGTGATGAGCAGGGCTGGATTTCTGATGAGGCACAGGAGGCACGTGCCTAGGGACGCCGGCATTCTATGGGGCTCCTAAAAATTCAAACTTTGCCGCTCTCAGGTGCCAGCAGGAGGCAGGGCCGGCTGAGGGGGCGAGACCCCCACACAGCCCTATTCCTGGAGCGCTCCTCGCTCCGCCCGGCAAACAGTGTCAACTCCCAGGGGGGCCAGTGAGTGCGGGCCGGGGGGCAGGGCTTGGGAGAGTGGGTCTCTGGGGGAGTTCATGGGGCAGCTCTGGGCAGAGGGGGTGGGGGGTGCTGGGCAGTTGGTGGAGGGGGCTCTGGGCAGCACCTAAAATTTAAAAGTGGTGGGGATCCCGCGCAGCCCGTGGCAGTTAACAGCTTCCAGGCAGCAGGGGTACCCTCCAAGCCGCCTACAAGCCGGGGGCGGGGGGAGACCGCCGAGCCCTTGTGCCTGGGTGCCCCCAAAATGTAAATCCAGCCCTGACAATGGGGATTCCTGGTCTTTGTTGCTAATACACACAATAAAAGGCTCATTTGCTCTGGCCAAAAGTCCAGTTCCCAACTGGAATCAGTTAAAAATATTACCAGGGATCCCAGCTGGGGCTGATTTCCCAGAGCACCAGGTTTCTGCATTTTTAATTGCACCATCGTCAGGGCACTAACTGGCCATTGGGCCGGGATTGTCAGGACGGGGGCGGCTGGGGGTGTGTGCAGCTGAGTGGCGGTTACCATCTGCCCATGGTGCCTTATCCTGTCTCTGCCTTCCAGGGCTCTGCATCGCCCTGTGCCTGGGGGGCACCGTGGCCCAGAATAATGGCGTACAAGGTAAGGCTGATTCCTCCTGGCTAACCTTCCCCAGCGCTCCCGGCAGCCCGGGGTCTCCAGCCTCCGCCCCCTCCGGTCCCTTTCCCTTGTGGCAGGAGAGCAGAGTCAGGGTCTAGTGAGCCTGGAGCAGCCCCTGGGCGTGGGCATCTTGTGGTGGGTTTATAGAGCACGGTGGGTGCGTGCACGGGAGAGGAGAAGGCCCCTGTGTAGCCCTCCCCTTCCCTTCCCAGCCCCGTGGCCAGCAGAGAATAGACACTGGGGCCCAGGGCTCTACACTGGGGGCTGGAGTGAGGGGGGTAGATCCCCTTTGTAGCCAAGGGCCGTGTTATTGACCAGCCCGAATCAAACCCCTGATGGCTCAGACGTTAGAAGTGGCATTTGTAGGTGTCCCTCCCTTTAAAATTGGGCTGAACTGAAACCTGGGACCCATGTGCTCAGCTGGGGGCATTTGCAATCAGGACTCTGCGCCCTGAGCCCAGCTCTGCTGCAAATCCCAAGATGGGATTTGGGCAAATTCCCATTGACCCACTGGGGTCCCCCAGTGCTACACCCACTCTGCTCTGTCTGCTCCCACCCTGCTCCGTCTGCTCCCATCTCAAGCCCTGCAGCCGGCTAAGCTGCGCTGGGATCCTTCCCCTCACGCTGGTCAGAGGGACGGATCCCAGCGGAGCCCCAGACACTGGGCAGCTAAAGGATCCAGGAGCCCCCGTAGGCAGGTCACAGTCTGGGTCATGGGAGGCAGCTCAGGATCCAAACTAGCCTCGCGCCCGGACTCCGCTCTCAGTCAATCCAGAGCAGAGCCGGGCAGGAATTTCCCAAGGAACCATTTTTTGCCAGAAAATGCCGATTCGGTTCAGAGGAATGTTTGGTTTTACTCAGGATAAAATGGCGGGGGGGGGAGGGGAGATGAAATAATTTTCAAAATGAACAATTCCCGTTTTCCGGTTGGAAGCGAGGTTTCTATTTGAAATTGACGCTAATGAGAGTAACGACGACAGCAACAAAAAGGAGAAAAATTGGGTGAGATCGAAAACGTTTCACTTGAAGCGACGCCCGGCTCCAGCGGCTCGGCCTGTCTGTGCCGGGGGCTCCCCGGGGAGCCAAGGCCCCTGTGCAGCCGAGGGCAGCTTGTTGCCAGGCGGTGGATGGCATCGGAGCTGTTTGCCAGGCGCCCAGGGACGAAAATCAGCGAATGGGGCGTGTGAAAGGAGTCGATCGCACTGTGTGTGTGGGGGTGGGGAGGAGCCGCTCTGCACTGGCTGACCCTGTCCAGCTGTTCCCGCCCCTGCAGGTACCACTGAGGACTGCAGCAACCATGTGCTATGCCCAGCAAACGCCAAGTGTGTGAACAACACCCACTGCACCTGCCTGGATGGATACCAGTCACATGGGAATCACTCCTTCTTCACCGACACAACGGAGACCTGTGACGGTAACGGGGCTCCCACGTTGTCCTGGGGGGGCTGGGACAGAGCAGAGCATTAAGGGCCGGAGCAGCCAACTCCACTGACTGCAGGGCCTGTTGGGGGTGCTCAGCCCGGCTGGGAAATGAGGGGGGGCAGCAGCATGGGTGAGCGCCGCCCTCCTGGGGATCGAACCGGGGCCACCAGAGTGAGCAGCAGGAGCAGCTGCAGCAGGAGCCAGGAGTGTTGGGCTCTGTGAATTGGGCACAGGGTGGGGGGGCCCATCACACTGACCCGTCTGAACCCCAGCCTGGGCCCTAATCAGCCCCTGGATGTCCTGGGGCACAGGGGCCCCACGGGAGCAGAATGAGGCATCCCTGACTATACTTCCCCCTCCACAGCCACGCAAGGATCCAAGGAGGGAGGGGGCAGAGGAGAGGCAGCTTGTCACCCCCCCGCAACACATAGGGAGCCTGGAGCCCCTGGGGAATGTCTCCTCCCCTCCCCTCACATGGGGGATCTGGTGTTTGTAAGGCCGAACCCCCCGTACCTGGGACAGGAGGCTTGTGGGGCTGTTTCCAACATTCCAGCAGCAGAAATGGGTAACTGAGAATCAGGGCCTTAATCACTAACTGCTGAGGGCCCCGGTCACCTGGATCCCGTCACCCAGCTCAGTGGAGGGGGCTGAAGGGGGTGATACGGGGAACGTCTCCCTGCCAGTACTGTACAGAGCGTCCCCTCTTGCATTACAGATATTAACGAGTGTCTTGGGCCGAGCCCGCCAGACGGTGGACGCAACGCAAACTGCAACAACGTGGCTGGGAGTTACTACTGCAGCTGCATCCATGGCTACGAGCTCAGCTCTGGGAAAGCCAAGTTCATGAACGCGAGTGAGAACACCTGCCAGGGTGAGCTCTCCCCTGACCCCCACTGCACCCTGCTCAGTTTCTCCCCCCGCCCCATATACACACCCCTGGGCTCATTCCAGGCCTCGTGCTGCGGCAGAGGCACCCGATCCACTCACCAGGGCTGTGATCAGCCGTGACCCTCAACTGCTGCCCCAGTGCGTGGGGCCAGGATCTCCCCTACCTCGGTGTTTGGATTGGGAATAATCCCCTAGGTTCGCAGGGAGGTGCCGGGGAGACGGGTGGGGCCCTCGCTGTCCCCAGCACACAGAATCCAGGCTGCTAGTGCCCCTGAGCCTGGGAAGGGGCCTCGTGGATGGTCCACATACAGCACAGTGCGCTCTGCCCCCTATGGGCCCTGGGGAGCAGGGAATAGCCCCAGTGCAGGGCACCCCGGCCATGCCCCCAATCTGCCCCCTCCCTCAGGGCTGGGAGCAGAGCCTGTTCCAGCCCCACACTGACAGGGAGCCCCCGGGATGGGAGGGTGTTTCCTAGGGGGGCCATTATGCCCCCTTAGGCAGCCAGGGCGGCCTGACTGGAGAAGGGGCCGCGGCGTTCCAGGCCCTTGTTTGCCACGTTCAGCCGGTAGTTAGAGCTTGTATCAAGTCCTAGCCAGCCGTTCCCATGGAAACCGCCCTTTACACCCCCGTTTGCGGGGGGCAGAGCACCGGGCCCATCGAACTGGGAGAACTCAGGAGCCCATTGGTTCAAATGCTTCCCCTGGCAGAGACCTCGCCCAGCCGTTCCTGCGCCCAGCCCCCGGCCGCGTGGGATAACCCCAGCCAGTGTCCTGGGGCGGGTCTAGACACAAGAAGAAATCAGCGCCGCAGGTATCTCAGCCAGCGTCCCGGGGATTGTCCGGGGATAGCTGGTATCGGGAGCCGTGCGGAGAGAATCCCTAGGGCTTGCCCCCGGGGGGAATTGATGGTGATCGCTGTTCTCTTTGGAAGCGCACTGATTATTCCAGACCAGAGTGTCCGGATGGGGAGCGATTCCACAGGAGCTGTTCCCGTCAATTTCCCCATGGACTTAAGCCCCTAGAGACACCCAATCTCAGAGCTCCCTGCAGCTCGGAGCGAGTTTGGAAGCCGTGGGACACCCGTGTGCCCGAGGGAGGGGAGAGCTCTGGCCACACCACCGCGAACCCAGCGCATGGCGCCTCTTCTCCAGCAGACAGAGCGTCGGAACTGGGGGACAGCGCTTTGGAGCAGCAGCTGTGCTGTGGCTGGATGTGTGTACAGCGCCTGGCACCACGGGGCCCCGGCTGTGGCGCTACCCGCTATAAACATCCCAATCGCACCAGGACGGGATGGATAAGGACGCTGGAAGCTCCGTTCCCATCCCGCATGGACTCTTGGAAGCCTTCGGGGGCGGAACCCAATTGTACGTCGTTTCCGGAATAAAGCAGGTTCTGGAAACGCGGAGCCGCCTTGGTGCTGTCAGGAGAACCCACGAGTGTCGCAGGGTCGAGGGGCGGAGGAGGAGGCAGCACTTGGCAGGATGCAGCCGGTCGGTTCTTACAGGTTCAGTCTGTCCTGGAAGCAGCTCAGCCTCTGAAGAGGCAAAACCTAAGACTGAGAAACCCAAGATGCTCTTTCATAGCAGAGCCTTGAGGTGGGGGCAGGTCAGGTCATTGCAAGGCAAACTGGGCTGAGACGGAGCCGAGGACTCTGTGTTGGACAACCTTTAATACAGCTTGGGCTCAAAAACCCCATTAGTTTCTGGAACCCCATTAACTTAACCCTCAGCATTGCTAAGACTGGGAAAGGAGCTAGCATCACAAAGGAACCAGCTTGGGTCATCCGCAGGAATCAAACCCAGGCCCTGTCTGCTGAAAGTACACAGCTCAGCTGCTGGAACTAAGGGAGTAACTCCATCATAGCAGGGTGTTAGCTACTTATGGGAACCAGCCGCTAGACCAGGACAAACTTGCTCTCTCCTTCTTCCGTGGCTCTCGGCCTTCGCTAGAGGCTGGCACATGCAAGCCCGCCTCACAGGCATGGCGTAGGCCTGTTGGCTTCCAAGAGGTTTAACAATGGAGCAAAAGTTGAGTTTCCTGCCGAAGGAACAAGGGATTTTTTCCAGCCCTGATGCACTCCCGGCCGTGAGCCAGGGGACACAAAGCTCCTCTCAGTGAGGGGGAGCAGAGGGTAAAAGCTGCCTGGTGAGGCAGGGGAGACACATTCTTGGCCTTCTATGGAAGAAACAAGCTGAAAGAGACAGGTCTAGTGGGTCGGTCTGAGACAGAGACTCAGGAGACTTGGGTTCCAGTCCCAGCTCTGTTACTGCTGGGTGTCCTTGGGCAATTCCCTGCCTCCGTTTTCTCTCCCACCTCTTGTCCATTTAGACTAGAAGCTCTTTATGGCAGTGTGTGTGCAGCGCTCTGGGTGCTGCCTTTATGCAAATAACCACCGAGGGGAAGAGGTGTAGCGGGAAATAGCAAAACGCTGTCACGGGAAAGAGCGAGAAGGGGAGTCTGAGACAGAGCTGCTGGAGCACGGCCCAAGGGAAGGATCCGTGAGCGCTCTTGACTCTCCCCGCTGATTGACTTGTTTGCTGATGTCCAGGGGAAGGGGATTTTACTCACAAGGATTTCTGTGAGAAGCAGAAGCGTTATGGATAAATATCGGGGAGAGCTTAGCTTTCTTCTGTGGCCCTGCCCCTATTTCATCAAGAAGGGTCGCCATCCATCTGTCCCAAGGGATGGTGACTGATAGGCCACTGCCAGGGCCGGCTCTAGGCACCAGCAAAGCAAGCAGGTGCCTGGGGCGGTACATTTGCAGGGGCTGCAGGGATCCAGCATGGGAGCTGAGAACCAACAGGGGGCCCTGGGAGCTGTAGTTCCTTGGTTAGCTCCCTGCCTATAGAGCCAGCCCTGGAGCAGGGAAAGAACTACATTTCCCAGCATTCCCTTGGCCGCTATCAACAGGAAAGGGAGGGGGAGGGAGTGAGGTAGCTGAGACCTCATGCTGCAGCTTGCTGTGAATGGAGAGCTCACTGCTAGAACGGGGTGGCCCTGTGAACGGTAGGGATGACATATTTTAACATTCAAAAAAGAGGACACTCCACGGGGGGTAGCCCCGCCCACTATCCACTCCCTCCCTCTGCATTGGGAGGGAAATCCCGGACCTTTTGAGAGTTTTACAAATTCCTCCCGGACGGCCATTTAAAACCCCAAAAGCCGGAAATATCCATGATAATACGAACGTATGGTAGGTAACCCTACAATGGGGAACAAGTATGCCCAAGGAGTAGAAGGCTTTGGCCCAGCTATCCCCTTCAGAAGACATCCCCAGCCTGGATTAGGGGTACTGGTGTGACCCCACCTTGCAGCCCCCAAAGAAGGAAGTGGTTGGACTAAATGGACAGTGCCCCGCTCTATCTGAAGCCTAGCAAGGGAGGTACGTGGATCCCACTAGAATTTAAAATGAAAAGTAAGGGAGGGGAGGCTCTGGACCTGGGCAGCTTTAGATACAGTACCAGGCACGTAGGAAGATTTCCACTTCTGAGCCAAGGAAGCAGAAATTGACTTTTCCTTTCCAGATTTAGCTAATATTCAGAAAGGGAATCTAGCACCTGCCTTCCAGATTTGAACACCCTCAAAATTCAGGAGTGCTCAAGCTCAGTTTGGGCGGCTGTTACTTCATTTCTCCCAAATCAAATATACTGATCCACTGTAACTTGCTGTAGGAAAAGTAGGATAAAATTGAGCAAGAAATGCTTCCCAGTGGTTATTAGGACTGGAATTGCTATTTTCAACAGCCATTGCCTTTTTGTTTGTTTGTTTGTGTAAAAGGAAGTGGCTCCATATAGGTTGTATTTCCCTAGTTTGTTTATGAGGTCATGTGAGACAGTGTCAAAAGCCTCACTAACGTCAAGATATACCACGTCTACCGCTTCCCCCCATCCACAAGGTTTGTTACCCTGCCAAAGAAAGCTATCAGGTTGATTTGACAGGATTTGTTCTTGACAAATCCATGCTGACTGTTACTTATCACCTTATTATCTTCTAGGTGTTTGCAAATTGATATCGAACCTTCTAAAACTTCTGTAGCTTTGCTAGTGGCTGGCCCCAGACTTACACGCCCATTGTCTTCCTGCAGGAGAGCATTAATCTACAGACCATATACTCTGATTTCTTCTGCTGGTTTTCATGCCATTTCTTTCCAATATGCACCTCCATGTCTCTCTGCATCTTCCTTCACTTCCTCTTTCCTCTCCCCCACGAGCACTACGTCATCTGCAAAAGGCATGTGCCGGGGCCACTCTCTGGCTGCTTTCTGTTAATGCATCCAGCACCGACGTGAACAAAAAGGGGCTTAGTCCCAAGCCTCGATGTATTCCAGCTGTTACTAGAAACTGTTCCCTTTCTCCACATGAAGCTCGCGCTGTGGCAACAGCACCATCGTACATGTCCTGGACACGTCTGATATAAAAGCTTTATTCACGCAATGAGAGGTGTCAGGATCATGCCCCTGCATAAGGCAAACACCAATGTCGGTCGCCCTGCAGCGCCTGCAGAACTCACCCTCTGCCCTGGGTCTCTCTGCAGGGAAAGCGGAGCGGCAGAAGCAGCAGTTTTTGCTCTTTCTTCAATTCGACCTTAGAGATTTTGATGTCCACGTGCGGAGATGGGAGTGCGGCGTTATCACTGGAGGTGAGAGGCTCCATCCCTGGAATGTGCCCTGCAGACTAGTGCCCCTGTGTGTGCCCCAGAGCCCTGTGTGCTGCTGTGCTGGGTTAGGAGTCTCATCTGGGGGGAGGGAGCCATGTAGATACTCTTCAGAAAAGATCTGTGCCCTCCACTGCTGTGGGGGGCGGAGGTGCACCTTCTAGTGGTGTTTGTCTGTGTCTGCGCGCACATGGCCTCTAGTGGTGTGAGTGCACGTTTGTGATTGTCCACCCACATGCGCCCTCTAGTGTTCATAACTGTTGATGTTCATCAGAGGTGCTATACTGCTAACAGTTAATGGGGATTCTCCTCAGCTCATCTGTCAGTGACCTGAGTTTTTCAGGCAGCAGGATCTGGGCTCTATCCCTGCCCTGCCAGACATTTCTGAGCAGCTGCCGGATGCAGCATAGAGGCAGCCTAGGAAACTGTGGGCTTGTGACAATGTTGTTCCCTGGCTTCTGTACTGGAGGGATGGGGGAGTGGGAGCGAAGACAGTTTATGACAAAGGGTTCTAGCCCCAGTTGGCTTCAGGTGCCAGTGGGGCCCCAAGTCAGCCTCAGTGGACCCCCTTTGTAAAGGGCTCCCCCCCTGAGAGCAGTGCAGCCCCCTGAACTGGGAGAGGCTGTGATGCCCGATGCCCCCCGGGAACACACAGGACATGACACCTGAACCCCCGGACTCCTCGCTCCCAGGGCTTTTCCTTTCCTGTCCCCAGAACGCGACTCGCTCTTTCAACTCCATCCTGAACAGCACCTCCCTCTGGGATGGCGGAGACAAGGGGGACGTGGGGTTGTGCGTGACAGTCCTGCTGCAGAGCGTGGAACTGGCCGCACTGGCCACTGCGCTCCGGTCTCCGGAGAGGACAACACAGAACATAACGACAGAGTCTCTGGGTGAGGGGGGACGTGTGGCTCTCGGCGCCACCTGCTGGCTGCCGTGAGATACGGGGTTATATACTGTGCCCCAAATCCACTGGAAGTTAGAGCCTATATACCATTGTGGATGTGAGCCTGTGTTCAGTACAGACACACACCAGCACTGCCCCTGCACCAGGATTATAACCCAGCCCCGCCAGTGCTCCCAGGAACAACAGCAATGGCCGAGAAGGGTTTAAATGTAATATTTGGTATTCCACCACTAGGGGCTGCCACGCTGAGCCAGGCGCCTCCCCCCACCCCGAATACTCCCCCTTCTGGGGACGCAGCATCCCCACGGAGACACAGCCAGAATGGGGGGAGGGAATATGGGGGGTGATCAATGGAACTCGGGGGGGGGGGGGCTCCAAACTTCCCCCTCCCACAGTGCGGAAGAGCCCAGAAGCCCCCCGGCTCCAAGTGCAGTGGGAGGGGGGTGGATCTGACCCAGAATGGACAGATTCCCAGGGAAGTGGTTTCACAGCGAGGGGCTTTGTCATTCCTCACCCCCACCCCCCACAGCTATCCAGACGCGGCTCGTCACCGGGAACGGCAGCCGGGACAGTGAGGTCTTCACGCTGAGAGCTCACGAGGAGACGATGGACGTGCACTGTGATACAGTCACCGGGGCAGCCACACGAGGTACCATCCTGGGGATGGCGACACCCAGGGCCCAAACCACAGCAGAGAGCAAGTCCCAGGCACCTAACCCCAGTCTGGGTTCCCCCGTTCCTCCCTCCCTCCCCATGGATCCCCAGGCCGGGCCCTGGCCTCTGTCTCTCGCCCTGGAGTGCTCCTTGCTGGCTGAGCCAGTGGTTCTCAGGCTGTGGGCCATGGAGCTGACACCTTCGTTCCTGGCTGTCCCACAGCTTGAGCCCCGAGCAGTGAGGAGTTGGGGGCGCAGAGGGGAGACGGCTCATGAGAGGGTCTCTGGTATGAAGTGGGCCCAGAGAATGGAAAGGGCAGGGACGCACTAGTCTAGCCAGACCCCCAAATGGAGATGTGGGGACCAGGGTAACATGTACCTCAGCTGCCATATTCAGGGCCCCGAATCCTCCAGCACCAGGGGAACCTCGTCCCCAGCCAGCCCCTCTCCTGCTCTCGCTGAGAAAAACTGAATCTTCATCTCTGCATCCTGCAGCTGGACATTTCCAGCCGGACGCGTTCCTGGGGGCTCCGAGGGAGGAGGTAGCACAGTCCAGTGGTTAAACCTTAAGAGTTGTGGCCAGGATCCTGGGTTCCATTCCCAGATCTGCCCCAGACTCACTGTGACCCCTGGGCACCCGGCCGGCTCCTTCTTTGCCAGAGCGTCCCCAGCTCCCTAACGAGGGATCATCTCCTCTCCCAGCAGGTGTGGGGGCTACTGCTTTTATTTCCTACTCCACCCTGGACTCCATCATCCGTGCGAGACGTCCCAGCGAGGGAAATCGACCGGCTGGTGGGAAGCTGGAGAAGAGTCATCTCAACTCCAGGGTGGTGAGTGGGGCCGTCGGAGACGGGAGACCCATTCACCTCTCCAGACCCGCACACTTCACCCTGCGCCACAGACAGGTGCGTGGAGGGAGATCCCCTCGCTTTGCTCCGTATCTGGGGCTCCAGAGGGGCCTATAGAAGGCACCATCTCCTGCCGGGCATTTGGACCGTGCTGCCTTTCTGGCTATCGATGGTCCTGAGAAGCGGCGGCCTCCTTATTCCTGATGCACTGGGGCTGTGTTACTGGAGGAGGTTACCGGGGTTGCACCACGACACATGGCTGTGGCAAAGTTTGCAGGTGATACTAAACTGCTCAAGATAGGTAGGACCAAAGCAGACTGTGAAGAACTTCAAAAAGATCTCACAACACTAAGTGATTGGGCAACAAAATGGCAAATGAAATGTAATGTGGATAAATGTAAAGTAATGCACATTGGAAAAAATAACCCCAACTATACATACAATATGATGGGGGCTAATTTAGCTACAACAAGTCAGGAAAAAGATCTTGGAGTCATCGTGGATAGACGTCCACGCAGTGTGCAGAGGCGTTCAAAAAAGCAAACAGGATGTTAGGAATCATTAAAAAGGGGATAGAGAGTAAGACGGAGAATCTCTTATTGCCCTTATATAAATCGATGGTACACCCACATCTTGAATACTGCGTACAGATGTGGTCTCCTCATCTCAAAAAAGATATAGTGGCACTAGAAAAGGTTCAGAGAAGGGCAACTAAAATGATTAGGGGTTTGGAACGGGTCCCATATGAGGAGAAATTAAAGAGGCTAGGACTTTTCAGCTTGGAAAAGAGGAGACTAAGGGGGGATATGATAGAGGTATATAAAATCATGAGTGATGTGGAGAAAGTAGATAAGGAAAAGTTATTTACTTATTCCCTTAATACAAAAACTAGGGGTCATCAAATGAAATTAATTGGCAGCAGGTTTAAAAGAAATAAAAGGAAGTTCTTCTTCACACAGCGCACAGTCAACTTGTGGAACTCCTTGCCTGAGGAGGTTGTGAAGGCTAGGACTATAACAGTATTTAAAAGAGAACTGGATAAATTCATGGAGGTTAAGTCCATTAATGGCTATTAGCCAGGATGGGTAAGCAATGGTGTCCCTAGCCTCTGTTTGTCAGAGGGTGGAGATGGATGGCAGGAGAGAGATCACTTGATCATTACCTGTTAGGTTCACTCCCTCTGGGGCACCTGGCATTGGCCACTGTCGGTAGACAGGATACTGGGCTAGATGGACCTTTGATCTGACCCAGTACGGCCGTTCTTATGTTCTTATGAGCTGGAATAACTGGAAAGCCACTTTCTGTAGATAGTGGTGTTCAAGAAATCATTATGAAACACTTTGATACAGTAATGAAGTGGTTAGGGTGCATATGTGTATATGTGCACACAGCACTGCCCTCTGCTGGATGCAGTCAGAACTGCTCAGCCATGTGCCACGTTCCTTATAGTGCTAACAGCTAGCAAGGGTTTATTTCCCTTCTGCTCCAACAGCAGGGCCTGTGCTTTTGCAGCAGCAGGATCTGTGTTCTCTCTCCGCTGTCACCGGGATGGCCCCAGTGCGCACTGGGGGCTGCGTGGGGAGAGCCATGGAGCTGTAGGTGACCTCGGGTTTGCTGTAGACGTGTGATAACAGAAACGATGTTCTGTGGTCCCGTGAGGATGTTTCTGTTGTGTTTCCAGGCCAAAAAAGAGGAGGACGAGGCTCTCTGTGTCTACTGGAAAGTAGTGGCCGAGAGCGGCAGCTGGTCTCCGGACGGCTGCACCGCCGTGCACACGAACAGCACTCACACCACCTGCAGCTGTGACCATCTCTCCAGCTTCGCCGTCCTAATGGCTCCCACCACAGTGACGGTATCTCTCCGTGAGACTTGATCACGGGGCTGGACCCTGAGCTCCGCACTCAGCCGTGGGCAAAGCTCTCCCTGGAGCCACTGGAGGCTTTGCTGGGGAAAAGGCTGAGTCGGAGCCGAGGGGGCTGGGCTGGGGTCACTGGTCATTCTCCCTTTGCTGTGTTACAGGAGAGTTACCCACTGACCATCATCACCTATGTGGGACTGACCCTCTCCCTGCTGTGCCTCTTGCTCGCCATCCTCACCTTCCTCCTGTGCCGCTCCATCCGCAACGTCAGCACCTCCCTCCACCTGCAGCTCTGCCTCTGCCTCTTCCTGGCCAACCTGCTCTTCCTCACCACGGTGACACGCACCGGCAGTCAGGTACGGCCTGATTCTCCCCTGCTCTGTTCCTCCACTCGTAGTAGGGCTGGGGTGTGTGGCTTTGAACCCCTTTGTGCTCCCTGGACTCTGGGATGGGCAGGAAAAGGGGGATTCCTAGGGGGATATTTCCACCCCCTGTTAGGCCCCTTCACACTGGGCACAGTGGTCTGAGTGTCCCCATCCCCTGGAGTTCAGCCAGTTCTATCCATATGTCACATTCTCCCTGTGCCTCAATTCCTCTCCTACGTGACTTGCCCATGGTCACCCAGGGACTCTGTGGTAGGACTGGGAACAAAACCTGGATCCCCTGAGCCCTGCTCCCCTGCTGTAACCACTAATCTCTGCTCCCTTCCTGCATCAGCAATGTGCACCCGCAGCACCCTCCATAGACTGAGGAACCTGCCATCTCTGGGTCATGGAGCGCTATAACTGGAGAGCTGTGCTAACTATAATCCCAGTGTGACACCCCCCCCCCCCCCCCCCCCCCCCCCCCCCCCCCCCGGCAGGTCTCCCCCATACTCAGCATTTCCCTTCCCCACCGCAGTGTCCCTGGGCTCTCTGTCTCCCCCAGGTGGCGTGTGCTGTCATTGCTGGGCTCCTACACTTCCTCTTCCTGGCCTGCTTCAGCTGGATGTTCCTGGAGGGGCTGCACCTCTTCCTCACCGTCAGGAACCTGAAGGTTGTGAATTACACCAGCGCCGGCCGGTTCAAGAAGAGATTCATGTACCCGTTCGGCTACGGCTTCCCAGCCCTGGTGGTGGCGATTTCTGCAGCTGTGAATCCTGACGGCTACGGAACTTCCAAACAGTACGTGCAGCGCCCATCCCGAAGGGGAGCTGGGATGGGGCTTCCATGCGCTTGTCCGGCTCACCCCAGGTCTGACTTGGACCTAGATTTCCCTGCTCACCCTGCCTGGGAGCTGAATGTCCCCCTGGGACCCTTCCCATCCCCAGGGACACTAAGCTGCCCCGAGTGCTGTAGTTGAGTTGCCCACCGGTCAGACATCTACACTCCTCACCCCACTGATGATGTGGAAGAACAAGTTAGAAAGATCCCAGCTTGACTCCCATGTCCCAGGCTGGGTTTGTGGAGCTGGTGAGTAGGAAACAAATGCACCTTCTTCCTGTGTGCAAATCCCTGAGGATCCCCTCTCTAAAGTGAGCGACTTCATCAAAACAGGGTATGGCGTGTTCTAGACACCCCAGGCTAGATCCTCTTCTGGTGTAAATCAGGGCAGCTCCACTTCCTTCAGTGCAGCGAGGCCAATGTCCATCCGCTGCATGTCTGGCCCTCCAGCAATACTGCGCCCATCCACCAGAAAGGGTCATTTGAGGAGGTGGAAGAGGAAGTGGGGGCTGAAAGCAGGAGATGCTGAGGTACATGGGAAGGGCTGTTTACCTGTTGCCCGCAAGAGAGTCGGCCATGTCACAGGCAGGCTGAGATCCATCTCGCTTTTGAGAGCCAGCTGCCCTGTGACACCCCCTCTCTGCCCCCGGGGCTGAAAAAGGGCAGTAATCCCATTAACGTCACCTTCTTCCTCCCTGCCTGTAGCTGCTGGCTAAGCCTGGAGAGCGGCTTTCGTTGGAGCTTCCTGGGTCCAGTCTGTGCCATAATCCTGGTGGGTACCTCACAGAACCACAGGGCCCCATTCTCCTCTCACCTCTGTGACCCCATTGATTTCAGTGAAGCAGGGAGGAGAATGTGTCCCATAAAACACAAGGAAAGACTTAGTTAGTTCCCACCTGGCTCATCTGCTGTGGTCAGTCCCGGGATGAGTCCCTGTGCTGTATCCCCAGGCCTACAGCCTTTACTCAGGCACAGCTCCCATGGACGTCAGTAGGAGTTTTGCCAAGTGAAGACAGAAGAGTTTGGCCTAGTCTAGTTAATGAGGAAGGGAGAGGGCTGCACTCTGCAGTGGTTTTTGTAGGGGGGGGAAACAAATGTCCCTACATATTCCTCCCTACCCCCTGGGGAAGTTGGGGGGGGTGGGGCGGGGGCAGGGAATTTGTTACAGTCTGGAAGTGGCAGGAAGTATTCTAGAGGCAGGATTTGGAATCTCTGAGCCAGATCCTGCTCTCAGTTACACCAGTGTAAACCCAAAATAACTCCTGACTCCACTGGAGAGGCTCCATATTTAACTCTGAGCAGCATCTGGCCTCTGTGATCCCATTGATCCATCTCAGCCCTGGCTGTGCTGTCAGCTCCACGCATGGGGAGGGACCGAGAGCTGCCAGGGGATATTACAGGAGAGGGGATGATTCCCACCAGAAATGAGCAGTCCCCGGTTATGCAGTCTTCGGATCGGTCCCCTGGGATCGGTCTCTGCCTCAGCTGGAGTCACCGGCCCCAGATGGGATGTTTTACGGGAAATATTTCCCACTCTTCCCATAGATAAATATAACGTTCTTTGCCCTGACCCTGTGGATCCTGAGAAACAGACTCTCCTCCCTCAATGCAGATGTGTCCACCCTCAGAGACCACAGGTGAGACGGCAACAAAACAATCCTGGAGGGTCAGATGCCTTGGTTTGGAGGGTCCTTGGTACTGGGAGGGTGTGAGGGATTGCAGGAGGGGAACAGCATATCTAGGATCCATTGGAACGAATTCCCATAGTGTTTGCATTCATAGTAGCTCTGTCCCAAACAGGAAAGCCAGGGATGGTAGCTCCACCCCACTCTGCCCAGATCCTCCTGACCCAATTGCTCTCCATAGGGTTATTGTAACGGGATCTCTCCATCTGCCTTTATCCAGGTTACTGACCTTTAAAGCCATCACCCAGCTCTTCATTCTGGGCTGCACATGGAGCCTTGGTCTGCTACAAGTCGGCCCAGCAGCCATGGTCATGGCGTATTTATTCACCATCGTCAACAGCCTGCAGGGAGCCTTCATCTTCCTGGTGCACTGTCTCCTCAATCGCCAGGTAATGCCCACGGCCCGTCAGCGCCCACCCAGCACCTTCACCGGACTTGCGGTGGCCATCTCTGATGTTCTCAGAGTTAGTTACATAGTGCAGTGACCTTGTCCCTCGCTCTCCAGGTGAGAGAGGAGTACAGGAGATGGAGCAAGGGATTCCGAATGTTCAGTATGAAATCTCAGACATCCGATCTATCCATGTCTGCTGTCCCCACCACCAGCACCAAGACGGTAAGAGGTTCTCTGCTCTGTTCCAGTACCAGCCTGTGACAGTCATCTCTAGCTGGGTCTCATCACTGCTGTAAAGGTGCTTTGCCCCCCGAATGATGCAGGATTGGTTATGAGCCAGTTGGGAACGTCACTGCAAGTGTTAGTGAGGGTCGGTCACTATCCAGGAGTATCCTAGATGTCTTAGGCACCAGAACAGAATGCCCTGTCCTAACACCTCCGTGTTCCCTTCCCTTGGCTCTCCTGAGAGCTCCAGGGGTCACTCACTGTGGGCTAGGCAGGCATTGGCTCTTGCAGTGTATTGATCTGAATAGATCAGATTGTCCCCTGGGATTGAAACCTTGTCAGTGCAGACGGATCATCCCCACTGAGCAGTCAGCACGGTGAAGAATTTCCCTTGGCTCCATTATCCCTGTGGGTCAGGATCCAGGGGCTTTGTGTTGCCTCCCAGAGACAACCCACCAGTTGGCACATTACGCTCTCAGTGGCCTTGGAACCTATTGTCATTTTTCTGCTTTTCTTGCCAGGAGTAACCCTTCTGCCAGGCGGAGTCGGCAGCAACCAGGGCCGGGTTCAATACCTCGGGGTTCCAATACAAAACCGAACCGGCTGGAGCCCCCTGTGATGTTAAGCTCCATATGTTTTATGGAAATATGCTCATGAATATGTTATAACTGGAATATGCTTTATGCTAAATACCCCTTGTATGGAATCTTTAGAAAGCTTGTAATCTGCTAAGTGTGTTCATCCTGTTTGTTTGCATGTATTATTTGGGTGAGTGGGAGCTCCGAGGTCCCCTGCTCCCCACGGCAGCTGAGCGGTTGTGGGGGGTCCCACCGCCTGCAGCAGCAGGGAGCTCCGGTTCCCCGCCACCTGCGGCAAGTGGGAGGTCTAGGGTCCCCCACTGCCCACGGGGGATGGGCTGCCGCAGGGCCTTCTCATCCCTCCCACAGCGGCTGAGAGCTCAAGGGGGTCCCCGCTCTTCCCGCCGTGGCTGGGCAACTGCAGGGCGTCCCCCACTACCAGCCGCAGGGCAGCCGGGGATGCTTGGTAGTGGAGACGGCCTTCCCCGTCCACGCCGCAACCCCCTTCCACGGCGTCAAAATGATCAGCATCGCAGCTGAGCCCCTCAGGGAGGAAACAGGCCCGGGTAGCGGGGCCTTACCAGGTGGGGCCCAGTGGAGGCGTCCAGGGGGTGCCCTGTGGCCTTCCTCCCCCATCAGGCTAGGGAGCTCCCCGCCCCCTGGTCAGTTCTGGGGTGGGGATTATTGGGGGGGCAGAGCTAACTGGAAGGGAAAGACCTCATGTCCGTGACCTCCGGGATATAATCGTAGCCTTAGCCATGAGCAAACTCCTACCCCAGAACATACTGAGCAGTGTCGTTCCTGGGCGTGGGAAGCCCTGTTAGAACCACCCCCAGCAGCTGGAATATTCCCCAGAAAAATCAGGCGTAACCCCATTGAATTCAGTAGAGTTACTCCTGCCCTGCACCCGGGTAAATGAGAGCAGTACCTGGCCCCCCTCAGCACCACACTGGTGTCCCGCAGCTCTGACTCATCTCCCCAAGCCCTGGGAAGTGGCCAGTCTCCAATCTTAAGGGTGGATTCTCAGGGGAAGGAATAACCAACGTCCTGGTCAGGAACCCAGAGGGACATCATCCCTAGGACATTACAAGGGCTTGTGGTTGAGGAGATACCAAGAGCCTTTCACCTCCAGAGCATCAGCTGACCCCTTGTTGAGGAGAGGGGCCAGACCAGCCTGTGCTGGACCTGCACCCTAAGACTACCTACCTCTTCTGTAGCTCATTTCCTCAGAGGGTCTCAATGTCCTTTACAAAGGAGGCCATTGTCAGTATCCCCATGTTACATAAGGTTCCTGGGAAGGAAGTGGGGCGATAGACGGAACGCATATCCCTATACTTCTCAATGGTGTTGCAAGCGCACAAGAAGGAACTTTCTTTCCAGCCTGCAAAATAACCGTTGTTAACGTTGAAATGCCAATTGTTATCCTTGGAGACCCAGGCTACCCCTTGCTCCCATGGCTCATGAAGCCGTACACAGGCAGCCTGGACAGCAGTAAGGAGCAGTTCAACCATAGGCTGAGCAAGTGCAGAATGGTGGTGGAATGTGCCTTTGGAAGTTTAAAAGCCCGCTGGTGTCGTTTGCTTACTAGGTTAGACCTCAGCGAAAGCAATATTCCCATTGTTGTTGCTGCTTGCTGTGTGCTCCATAATATCTGTGACACAAAGGGAGAAAAATTTCCGGTGGGGTGGGGGTGGAGGCAGATTGCCTGGCAGCCAATTTTGAGCAGCCAATTTTGAGCAGCCAGACACCCGGGCAATAAGAAGAGCACATCGAGGCGCACTGTGTCTCCGTAAGGCTTTGAAAAGTAGTTTCATCCATGACCCACAGTGATGTGAAACTTTTGTGTGTTGTTCCTTACCAAGCTGCCCCCTTCATTGCATGTCCCCCCTGTAAACTACACCCCCACTCACCACAGTGTGCTGAGCGAATAAAGAGCCTTTTCTCCTCAATCCATTAACTGTTATTAGGCTCACAAACACTGATGAGAGACAGCAAAGAAAAGTAAAGATAAACTGGGGCTAAGGGGCCGATAACACTGTGAGGTGGGGGAGAAACAAGGACAGGTTGCTTACAATTTGTACTGCAATAACAATCAAAGCTGTGGGAATGGACACCTTCTGTTCCTTGTACCTTCCCCTGGAGTTTAGTACAAGGGATACCAGAGCTTCCCCTCTCCCCCGCCCCCCATCCTAGGATGTCTGGGGAAGGAGGATGTGGAACTTGGCGACGGGGGCAGCAGGTTCAGCATAGGGTGTAGCGGGACTCTAGCGTCCAGCTGCCTTTCTTCAACCTCAACCAGATGCCTCAACATGTCTGTTTGCTCCCTCATAATCTGCACCATCTTGTCCTGCGTATCACACGCGTGTTCCCTGCATGCTCTCCTGTCCTCACAGTCACTGTGCATGCTCTCCCACAGTGCAATCCTCCATGCACTGAGCTCGGTCTTGTCACTCTCAGAGGCACGTATTAACTCATTGAACATGTCCTCCCGAGTCTTCTTTTTCCACCTTCTAGTCTGGGAAAGTCACTGTCCTGGTGTGGAGGATGCGACCACGGACAAGGTTTCAGCTGCAAAGAATGCAAAGCACATGGGTAGCATTGACAGTGCAGACATTGTTTGAGGTGCAAGGTTAAATCTTTTCATAAAAGAAACAGCCCTCAATGCACTGCCCTGCAAGCCACAACATAAGCAGAACAATTGGCGCCTGCAAGAGTCGCTTTGCTGCCACAGCCATGGTGAGTAAGCCAACAAGGCAGGGGCGGGACGTCTTGTGCTGCAGCTTTTCAGACATCTGGGATCAATGGTTCCATCTCAGCACAGCCCCCTTTCCCATAGCAACCTGGATGGTGCTTGAGGACAGGCACCAACGTCAAGCCCCACACAGTTTGCTTGTTAAAGAAGCAGCAAGGGGTTGGGGTGGAAAGGAACAGGAAGTGTGCCCCCCCCTTTTTTTTTTAAATGCTGGTTGGAGTATGCGGTGATCCCATCCAACCACAAACAGGGCATGCCCGGGAAAGCGTGGTTGTGTGACCCAGATTTCACCAAACCGGGGCGGATTACTTGCTGAATTGCTTGCGGCTTAAGGGCTGGCACTTATAACTTCCCCCATTTCCCCTAGGTAACCATATGCGATATCATTCTCCTGAGGGTAACAGAGGCGGAAAGGGAGCAGATGCTGCAAGCGTCTGGGTACAGACCTGGTCCTTATGCTGCAATGCTGTGTGCCACAATGACGCCAGAAGAGTTAATACTGGAGTGGGACGGGAAAGTGTCCTACCATGGTGGACAAAATAAGGCATCGCTTCCCAGAAACCTTCTGCAAAGGATTGCAGAGTACCTCCATGAGAGCTTCCTAGAAATGTCCATGGAGGATTTCCGGTCCAGCCCCAAGCACATAAAAAGTCTTTTTCGGAGATCACCCTCTGCGTACTGTGGACTGCCCGCCACTAACTACTATCTCAATTTTTTAATTCAGATTAAACATTAAAAATAATAACATTTAACCCCAACAGTTTGATTGAAAATTTGTACTCACCAGAGTGTACTCACCGGAGATCAGTCGGCTTAACTTCTGTACCTGGAAAGATAATGGAGCAAATAATTAAGCAATCAATTTGCAAACATCTAGAAGATAATAAGATGATAAGTAACAGTCCAAATGGATTTGTCAAGAACAAATCGTGTCAAACCAACCTGATAGCTTTCTTTGACAGGGGAACAAGCCTTGTGGATAGGGGGAAGAGGTAGATGTGGTATATCTTGACTTTAGTAAGGCTTTTGATAGTGTCTCATGTTAACTTCTCATAAACTAGCACAGTAGTTCTTAACCTGGGGTGCACACACCCCGTGGGAGTGCGAGATGCCCTTTCTGGGGGTGCGAGACATGCCAGATTTTTTTAGAAGGTAAATTATCGAAAACACAAATTAAGCACAGGCACATAAGTACAACTACTTTGTTTCATCAAACCTATGTATTTATTAACATTATACATTTTAACGATTACTGTAATATACAAACAAAAATATATCTAGGTTTAAAGAACTGACCTACTTCAACAATTTTTGATAAGGGGTGCGAGAACATATTTTGAGAACCAAAGGGGTACAGGCTGCAGTAAAGGTTAAGAACCTCTGAACTAGGGAAATGCAGCCTAGATGGAGCTACTATAATGTGGGTGCAAAACTGGTTGGAAAATCATTCCCAGAGAGTAGTTATCAGTGGTTCACAGTCAATTCTAGTAGATTTGTGAGGCATGATTTCCCTTTACAAAAACCATGTTGACTCTTCACCAACCAATTATGTTCATCTATGTGTCTGACCATTCTCTTCTTTACTATAGTTTCAACCAGTTTGCCCGGTGCTGAAGTCAGGCTTACTGGCCTGTAATTGCCAGGATCACCTGTGGAGCCCATTTTAAAAATTGGCATCCCATTAGCTATCCTCCAGTCATCTGTTA